TTCCATTAGTTGTCTTAAACCCTAGGTTCTAATGCGAGTTGGCTTCCTTAGTGATCAAGGGATTATCACTTAGCTATAAAACCTAGGTTCTCTCACCTAAGGGATTAGGGTTTGAGGGCTTTAGAGGGTCGACATTAGTATTTGATGGAAATGAGATGATTTTGTATGTGCAAAATAGTGAAGCCAAATGAAATATATCCCTAACATTGTCATTCCATACCATTTCTACATTTTTTTCCACTCACAAGTGCTTCAATTACCAAAATCCACCTTTTTTTTAAATCTTTATTTACTTGCATATAGTTATAAATTCATGAAATATTTGTTAGTCTAGATGAGTTATTAATTGTACAATTAACTAGTATTACACGAGTCTATTGGGAAAATGATATTTGATCTTACTATATTACATAAACGATTTGGTACGATTGTCAAATAGTCTAATAGTGGTGAAGGTGAGAAACAGTTAGAGAAGGATGGTAAATTCAATGGTGACTATGAACATGGTGGGTTAGAAATTACTTCATATTCATAATAATATTAAATTAAGAAAGGATGGGCTAAAAAAAAATGTGTTTCCATAGGGAAATTGGACACAAAAAAACTTCGTGCTTGCAAGCAACTCAATCACAATAGATTCAATAAACACCATCTCCACCACAACAAACAAAACCAACATTTTCTTTAGCATAACAAATTGAATCAACAAATTTTCCATCACCACATTTAATACACAATCAGTGCCACCAACGCATGTAATAGTATGTACTTAACAATCATCTTATGATGTTGTCATTCCACCTCAATACCCCTCAAGAGGCAAACTGATAAGTGTGAAAAAGAGTTGTTTTTATACTTATAAATGAGCTCAATCTTGTAATTGTTCATGTTGTTCCTCATTGAAAAGTTGTAATAGGTAGTAGATTGTTATGTAAAATATTGTATAGGAAATGGTGTATTATTTAGACTTTGTCAGCCAATTTTCGCAAAGCTAAAGTCAAAATTCGCACTGCCAGAAGAAGGAAATTCGCATAGCGCACCAGTACCTGTGCGCTGAGCGAATAACATCAGTTAAAGTGCAGCAGTTAAGAAATTTCGCATAGCGCACCAGTACATGTGCGCTGAGCGAATTAATGAAGTTAAGTGGCTTTAAAAGACGTGATAGAAAGACAGAAACATTCTTCTGACAGAAATTTCAGACAAAGGAAAGAAACAAAAACATCTCGGGAACTTCTAGAGACTACCTCAAGGCATCATGACATCATTGTTGCAAGGAATTTCTTCAAATGTGTACGTTCTAGATGTCTAGGAGTAGTTAAATTTTTCTTTCGTTGTAATTGGATGTAATGAACTCACTCTGATGTAATTTTTCTGTTTAATATATCGTTATTCGTTAATATGCTCTTTGTTGAATTTACTATCATTGTATGGAAATATAATGTTATTTGAATGTTTCTGATTACTGGAAAGTTACTTTGAACATGGACATAGATAGAGCACCTAAGTGATTTGGGATATAGGGATAGACTCAATAACTTGGTCATTCTTAGCATCAGACTTAATGCAAATTGTATGTTAAATTGACTAAGGGATTAACATTTTGATATATAAATTTAGAATTAGTTGTTAAGGGATCAGGATTAGTATGCATTGATGTGAATGTTTGAATAAAATAATGATATATTGTACAGACTTTTATCTTCATATGATTCATGAAACCCAATTCCAACAAAGTTCATTTTAAATATAATTTCTTGCACACCAATTGTTTGATAAAATACCAAAAAGAGTTTATTGAGTTGTTTTGTGCATTTTGATGTCTAATTGAGTTATAAAAGGAAGAATTGTCATGTATTGCACAAGTCCTTTGGGAGAACGATACTCTAAACTTATTCTATATTACTTGGAACGATTTGGTATGCTTGCCAAAAAGTTAACACAAACCAAACATTATGCAAAAATTGGAGGTTATGAGGGGATGTTTTTCGAAACCATGACCTTGGAATTGCAACATTTATTTTGTGGTTTTATTTGTACATTTATTTTGTGGATACTTAGTTTTAAGTATTTACTTTGTGATTGTATTTCCTTTGTGCATTATTCAAAATAATTGCCACCAACCAAATTTTCACACGTCCAACAAAACAACAAAAACCCACTTCAAACCAACAACACTTTTGGTTTTTATTAACAAAAACAATCATTAAATTTTGCTTTCATATTTGTTTTTCCTTATTCTTAAGGATTTTATTAGTTCTCAAGACTACATTGTCATCACAATATCAAATGAGTTTTATATTCAACCTCCTTGTTCTACCCCATTAAAAAACATGAAACAATCTTGCATTTCCCAACCATTACATATGCAAAGCAAAAATGAGAGTGAGACATGTCTCAGTTGAAAATGAGAAAGACAACCTTCTTTTTTCAAAACATGCACCTTTAAATGTCAAGGCAAAAAAAAAACATCTTAAAAGGAGGTAAACTAAACACACCAACTATAGTGAATTATGAAACCAAATGGTATATAATTCTTCAAATATTACCTCTCATCAAATTCAAACATCATTTAACTAATAAAAATGTCTTATTTATTACACATTATAAAAAAATATAATTAAGACTATTCAAACTGAACCTAATTAAGAATTTTTAATAAAAACAAAGGACCAACCAAATATTTAAACTTGTAACTAATAATTTTTTTTTTAATTACTTAATTATTTTTTAACTTTTTTTTATAGATCAAATAAGTTATTAACTACGGCTATAAGATTTATGGATATTTTTATCTTCTAAATAAAATAAAAGTTTATTAATAATTATTGAGTTAAGAATTCGACTATTTATTAATTATTAGTGTTTATTAATTATTCTTAAACACTCAACGCCACTTAACAGAATCCTAGACTAATTTCACTTAGTTTTCTCGGTCAATGCTTTGTTTTCCAACAAAGTCAATACTATAAACTATTTATGTGCATGATCTTTTTGTTAGTTGTGCACTCTAAATTAGTGGTCACTTAATGTTAAATTTTCCATCAATTATTTAAGTTATTTTCATAAATGAATGTTCTATATTTACTTCCAAATTAACCAGATTAAGCTTATATTCACATAAGTTTAGTCATTTTGAAAAATGAATTTTTGTATGTACAAAATTAAAATTAAACAGTTTTTTGGTAAATAACCATGCAATTTAATTCACCACTTTAAGTTAATAGTCCGATAAAATTTAGAGTAATTCTAATCAGTCATTTGTTATGTTTGCATAAATAAAGAAAGAAACATCATGCTTTACTTCATCTTTAATCCAATTATGATTTTCCACATTTTAAATACAAACATTTGAAAATTATTACCTTTTAAAACTATTTATACAAGTATTATTAAATAATTCCAAATACATCCAATTATACTAAAGTATATCCGTTATGCAAATAAATTATATTTTAAATTAATCAATAATTTTAAATAAATGATCTATTAAATATATAACTATTGGGAATCATTTATTTAAATTATTTCCTTAATTAAAAAATAAATATGCAAAAAATTGTGTAAACAATTTAAATATCTTTCTCAAAAACTCTTAACACGAAAAAAAAAAAGAGTAAAAGAATTATAATAATTCGAAGTTTCAAAACCAAATTATATCAAAGTTTACAACAATAACAAAATTTAATTTTACGTTAAAAACTGGATATTAAAAACATATTTAATTTTATATTTAACCACTATGATCTTTTTACTTTCATAGTATTTAATTTATTAATGTGATATGAAAATAAATTAAGTCACTTTTTAATATAATATCAAAATATCAAAAGCTATTGAAACACTCACAAATTTTTTAGACGCTTGTTTAATATATGAATATAAATATAAATAGTGTATTAATGATCATACATTAATTATAAATAATAAATTTAATGTCCTTTCTTAATGTTTACTTTGTAAATACGGAAATTATTTAGTATAACTTAATAAATTATCCTACTCATATTTTTATGAATTATTAATTTTATGTATAAATGTTGTTTATGAGTGAGTTAATAATTTGTTTAAAATTTATTACATTTATTTTAGTTTAATCAATTTTATTAAAATTTACTATTTCCTTTTAATTAAGTTTTTTACTATTTACTCATACTCATAGCCTCTCTTACGTATAAATACTACTTGAAAAAATACATAACAACTCATATAAAAGAGTTTCTTAAAATATTGATGTTTATAAAATTTAAATATTTTTCGCTACAATTGATTAATCTGATAGGTTATTGTATCTTATTATTTTATCTTACCTTATACAATATAGAACGTTTTCTATGTAAATACGTGTGTATGTGAATCTAGACTCTTGATAATATTTTTTTATTTAATATTTTTCATATATTGTTATAGTGTTTTATAATAGTTGTTTGATTTGATCAATATTTTTTTTATCTCTATTTTTGTATTATTATTATTATCACTTTTAGTTAAAATACATGTGGTACACGTTGGTCTTCAATTTTTTTTATAATAACAAAATAATAAAAATATTATTATTATTATAATTATAAAAGTAATTTAAATAATTTTTACAATTTTATCATACGAAATTTTAATTTTTTTAGATAATTTTTTGTATTATAAATAGTTCTTTTAGTTTAAAAGAATGTTAAATTTTAGAAAAATAACGGCCAAATAAAAAAAAAACTGTTAAATTAAAAAAAAACACTTAAAGGATAAGATCGAAAACAAAATGTAAAAAGAAAAAAAAAATGTAGACGTCTTACATTTTTTAGAAAATGTAAACATTATTATTATTATTTTCTAAAAGTAGAGTGCACCAGTGGTTTTGGTTGCTGGTTTTTATTTTGTATTACCATTTGTAAATGATTTTTATTTTCACCTTTTCATGAAACAAACATATTTATTTTCCAATATATCAAACATAATATATTTATTTGTTCTCAAGCAATAATTGATAGATGGTGAATGTTTAGTCCCAGTGATAATAATCAGCTCTTATTTAAAAGCACAAAAAAATTATTAGCAAGAGAAGAGTACAAGAAATTGTCTTGTGGTTATTTGAAGTTAATCGCGATTGCTGTCAGAAAAGAAAGTGTTGACGGAAGGCATAATCTGTGGCTTTTTGTTGCGCACAAACTTCCTCAGAGCATGCTCCGCGTACCTTTCTCCTTCAGCGGAGTTCTCAAGAACTGCACTGCTTCTCTTTTCCTTGCTCACCCTGTTTCGTTTTCACCCAAAATACATGCAAACAAATATCTCTCAGTTTGATAATTGAATTTCATGCCAATATTTGTTTATTTCTATAAATATTATTTCCATCAACTATGAAACTTTTTTTTTTAGTTTCGACTATGATAATGTTACAATATATGTTCTAATTTTATTTTTCTTTCTTGTTAATACGAATTATTACTCTCTACCATCAATTTTCTTGGTTATCATCGTTACACATGATAATTCAACACATGAAAAATAGCTTTTTCTATTTTTCCTTTTATTTAATCACAGTACTTTAGTGATTTTTTTGAACTAAAATTTCAACAAATAGGACTATCAGATTTCCCTTCCCTAAATTTTTGTCTCATTTATAAAAACATCTTAAAAGAAACCAGGCTGACATTTGGCTCTACAAAGACCAAATTCTGACAAGTTATTTGATGTGGAAGACGATTTCATGTTGAAATTTTTTATCATAAATAGCTTTAGTTTGGATTTTTTTTTCCCTATAGTATCGTTTTAAAAATATTTACTCAAATAGATTCCTAGAATAGACTTGTATGGATTTAGGATTAATCTGACAATGATAGCAAATTTTAATACTGAAATTAAAACAGTTAAATTATTCTTAATAATATTAAAAAAGTATTTTTATTAATAAATATAATGAATCTAAACAATAAATAAAAAATATTTATACAAAAATAATTTTTAAATATTATACTAAACAAAAGAAATAGTAAAAAAATAAAAAATACTAATACTCTATTTCATGAATCTCTATCTTCTTTGACTATAATAACTTCTTTATTTATTGTATCAGTGGAGAATTTGAAATTCTCAAACCAAAATTTCACTAGCATTTGTGATCACAAAAAAAAATCCGTCCAACCTTCCCAAAAAACCATTATAACTTTGTAGTGTTAACAAAGGTCAGTAATTTTTGTTATATATATATATAATTAAATTTATGACTAAAAACATAAATGTTATGACAGAGTAATCGATCATAAGTAATATTTTATTTTAATTTGATGTGAAGTTAAATTAAAAATATTAAAACTAAAAAAGAGTAATTAAAAATGTTATATAAAGAGGTTATAGTTTTATTTATAATTCTGAACATATTAATATTTCTTTCTTTTCATCCAAAAAAAAATCAAGAAAAAAAATCTAAAGTACTTGGAAGATCATTACTCCTATGTTGTTTCTAATTACCCATTCAGGTATGTTTAATGTTTTATAGAATATTGAGGATTGTTTTATTGATTAAGGGTTTTAATTACTGATCTGGTATTGTATCGGTGGAGAACTTGGAATTCAAAAAACTAAACTTTCACTTGCATTTGTGATGGCCAAACAACATAAAAAAAAGTCCCCTCCGATCTTCCGAAAAAGCAATGGTAACAAAAACCAAAATCTTACTGGTTTTTGAATTAGCAAAAGAAAAGGAAGATGAAAAGTTAGAACAAGAAGAAATCCGAATGAATGAATAGAGAGAGACCTGACATCAGGGTTGATGCAGATATTGCGAACCAACTGCATACCACATATCCCAACTACAACTCCAACAGCTGCAAACAATGGGTATACCTACCATGCATACATGCAAACAGCATTCCCATAACTCAAAAGAAAAACCTAAATGACACAAACAACGACAGATGCAAAGTCATGAATTATGAACAGGGAACGTACCTCGGGCCTAATCCATCGATTCGCCATCTACAAATGAAACAGAGGCCAAAAGTTCTATATAGCTCTCAAATTTCAAGTTCTCAATGGATCAACACTGAGTGGGTCATAAACTTTTATGCCTAACTTTACTTTCAAGAAAATGGTCTTGCTCTCGAGGACATGGTATTTCGCCCATAGTTATATTGTCATTCTGTTTTGTAGCAAAACAACTTAATATTTCATTCCATGTTTGAATTTCGCTCTATATATTTAACCATTTATTTACATTTTCCTACTAATATTTATGTTTATTTAATTTTTCTCTCTGATACTTTTCGTAATATTCAAGTATTTACTTTAAATAATTAAACGAGTAGTTTTATATTATATGATATCTGCATCTACAATTCTGGCTAATTCCGCCTCTGGTACGCAGGTTCGGAACCTGGGTGCTCATCGTTGAAACGAGTTTTTCAATCTAAACCAACAAACTACTTAATTATTTAAAGAAGTATAACCCTACCTAATTACCTTTTATGTTGTAAATATATTACTTGCATTAAATTTTATTTAACAAAATTTATGTAAGTATTAAGAGAATGGTGATATACATAATAGTAATCTTTAACCATTTATATATATATATATATATATATATATATATATATATATATGTAATGTTAGGCTCTTTTTATTAGAATGAGTAATTTCACTGTGAAATAACAAAAAATGGGATAACTTTTTTTAAAAAAAATCAATATTAAGTTATGAAACACAAAAGCGATTTCGTTAAAATTAAAATAAATTTATATAATTTTAGATAATTTCTTTCAAAAAATTATAATCATTACTATTAACAATTTAAGTCATAATATATATATATATATATATATATATATATATATATATAGTATGCTCATTATATTATTAGTTAAAATATTAAGTGATATAATTAATTATTTATCGTTAAAAGTATATTTTATAAAATATTAATTCTATAGATACTATAAATAATATTTTAATTTAATGATAGATCGAATTAAAAATATTGATTTTAAAAAAAATAATTGATAAATATTACATTATATTAATGAAGGATCAAATTAAAAATATTAATTTTTAGAAAAAGTAATTGATAAAGATTATATATGGTTTCTATCCATAAAGCAGAAATATGTTATTTCTTTTATTTATTTTAAAAAATTACACCATTTTAATAATTTTATAACAAAATTACTGTGTTATTTTCATTTTACGTTGTACATGTTAAGTCCTAATTTTGTTTGCAGGATATAGTAGCATGATTATCATGAACCAAGTTTTTCTCTATTTGCATGGTTTAAATTAAGACTTTGTTCAAAATGTTTCAATCTAATTAAATTTAGACTACTATAACTATTAACACTGATTTTGAAAAATAAATAATGCTTTATATTTTATAAAATATTTAGTTATTGAAAAAATTAACTTATATGCCTAATACCTTGAGAACATGCTCATAAATGTGATTTCATCCCAAAGTTTGTTTTTCTTTTACAAAATCTTCTTCTATGCAAATGAATTGATTCATCACCTCTTATTGAACTTATCTTCATATTTTTTTTCAATATTAAACACTGTTTATCTCTTTAACCCTAAAAATACTAATTAAATTGTAACCATTTCTTTATTTCAATATAGCTTCGTGACTACTATTAAATCCAAAAGCACACATTGAATTAACACATGTTATCTATTAATGAGTATTTATTTCAATATTTAATCCTTAAAAAAATGTTGTGTTGAAAATACTTCCTTATATTGTTCTTTGAAAATCAAACCGAACAAAAAAATATATTTATTTTTCTGACTCAACCATACATGTAATCATTTTAATATCACATGGAGACAAAAATAAGAAAAAGAAATCAAAATCTAAAAGAAAAAGAAAAGTCAGCTTTACCAAAATTTTGTTCAACTATTTTAGATGTTTCCTTTGTTGCCTCTAACGCCTGGTTTTGGAAAAGAAATTTGCTAAATACTATACAGAGAAAGTAAAAGCAATTTATATAATTTAAATTTTAGATAGAAAATAATTTGAAAGAAGTGAAGAATAAATTAATTTTTTTTAAAAGCAAAAACATTTTTAACATTCATAATTAATTTTTGACCTATATCTTTTAAAATTAAGAGTGAAAAAATACACCAGTGAACAGTTAAGAAAAGAAAAATGATATTTTAAGATACAATTTTTTTTTACGTTCATTTAACATTATTTTTTTTACTTTAAAAATACAAATATTAACTGTTTTATAATTTACTTTTATAGTGTCAAACCAATGCAAAAGCATGTGATCATATCGTATATCGTGTTTTAACTCTTGAAAAAAATACAGTTTCAATGTATGTGCTACAATGGAGTAGTGTTTTGGTGCTACCTTTGAATTAATTTATTATGTTCTTTTGTCTACAAATTTAATTTAATTTCACCATCTTATTTCATTTTCTGGACATCAAATTACTGTCCAGAATAATAGCTCTGGATATTTCGTGATGAATATGGCTGCTTGTGGTGATAACCAGTGCAAATAAACATAGTTCTTAGAATTGACAAATCCTTTGTGTACCAATTATAAGCATGTTTATGGATTTTACTGTATTCCATTTGATAGTTTTTGTTTTGGAGTTTTGGTGCATGTTTGAAAAGCGTAAGCAGATTTTCAATGTTTGGTGCATTATGGTTTATTTTCAATGTTTCAGCGTAATGGATCTTTCAATTAGCAAACCTGTGGAAGGGGATTTCCATGACAAACCAAATAATGTAACCTTGAATCTCAATCTGTTTTCATCATGTTTTGTTTCGAGTACGAGGTCAAGTCACTTCCAATATCTATACAATTTCTGCTCTTCAACCGTCGAGTCTTCCTGTTCGATATACCATCCGAAAGTGTACCCGTCAAAGGTTCTCCGATGCTAAAGTCAATAAGTTATTCGTTCGGTAGCTCAATGCAATAGTAATAAATCGTTCGGTAGCTCAAGTCAGTAAGTTATTAGTGTGGGTCTAAGATTAGTAAAACCTTAATCATAACCCAATCTCATCCCAACACCCTAATTATTACTTACCTTAATTCATGTAGTATAACCTACTTTATGCATACTGTCCGGATGTCTCTAATTGACCTATCGATCCAACTGTATTCGGTTTCATTCTTAAATCGTTTGACTTTGAAGCGTACTGTATGACCGTCCGGTCTATACAATACACGTTTAATGAACTCCAACCACACTAATAAGAACACAAATTTTCTTTGCTAAATTCCATGCTTAATGGATTGGTAGACCATTTCAAGATGTCCTTGGATTCGCTGATTGCAGTTTGGTTTGTAGTTAGAAATGTTTGGCCTCGCAACTTAAAAAAAACACAATTTTTTTCTTAAAAGAAATACCAGGTTAGACGTTACTCAGTGGAATGGATGTATTTTTTTTGCTTGTATTTATTAAACAAGTTTTGGAAAAAAATATGGATCAGGCTAAATGGATTGAGTTAACTCATTTTATCAACCTTATTTAAACACATATTTACGATATTTAAATTTACTTAAAATCATATTCTCATAACCAAACACTCAAACTAAACGTAATACATATGATTTATTTTCTGATTGAATATTAATAACTTACAAACCATTATTCACCTTAAATCATACAAGAGAGATCATGTGACATGAATCCTCAATTTTGTATATTCTCAGTCCAATTTGTTTTAACCTATGTTTCACTTAAAAAAATTAAAATAACCAATTTATTAAAATAAACAATCCTCAGTTTTGTATACTAGCAATTGCTTAATTTATTAAGTGACTTTTTCTCATATATTATACAAATTTTTTTAAGAAATAAGCTTAATACAATTTTTATCAACCAAAAGTTCAAAAAACTACTTTTTATGAGTCTTTAAAAAAACGAGCACACATAGATAAATAAAAGAAGAGATAATTGATTGAAATAAGCCTCTTAAAACGTTTAACAAGAAGGATAAACATCAACATAATAAAAATGACTTTTAGTAAAACTCATCCACTAATAAAAGAAATTCTCAAACTCATTCCAAATATTACATAGTTATATATTTCCTCTAAAAAACAAAGTGTAAGAAAAAAAACTACATTTTATAAGACTAATAATAAAAAAACATAAGTTTTTTAAAAACAAGTTTTAAAATGACCCTTCTATAAACCTCCTCAACAAAATAAAAAAAGTAAAAGGAGAAAAAATCTTCTATCTAACTTATCTATCACGAGTGAAGTAAAAGAATAAGTCATCATTTTACTATCATTAATTCTTATAAACAAAACCATCATTTTATTATCACTAATTTTAAATACTCTTTCTTATTAAATTATATATAAAACATAAAACATGTTTTCGCATAATTTATGGAATATATATTAATAATGTGAAATAAATTACTCTAAAATATAGATGTAAAATAATTTTTTTTTCAAAATCAATTTTTTTTATTATAGAATTTTTTTAAGTAGTTATTGCGATGTTATCGCGAAATATTAGTAATATATTTATAATAATGCATATTTGTATAATTTTTTTCTATTTGGTAAAAAACGTGGGGGTTTCATATTAGATATGTAAGTTACAGTCTCTTTTTAATGAGCTTTTTTCAACTGAAAAATGTTTTCAAATATACATATTAAAAAAATCAGTAAAAATATATGTTCAAAATATAATATTATAGTACTATTCATCTAGTTACTTTTACATAAGAGCACACATCTTAAACAACAATAAAAAAATTCAAATTAAAATATAAAGTTTTATAAGTTTAAAGCCAAATTATTTGTTTTTAATCAATAATTAGAAGTATATTTTAGTTTTTAAAATATAAATGTGTTTGAAATATGATGAAAAATCAATTGCAATTTTAAAATCAATAGAATTATATGTCTTAAATAAATCTGTGGATATGGATGGATAACAGTAGAAAAGGGAATAATACAAAAAAAAATGAAGAAAGAACGCAACTTTTTCCTTGTTAGGTTTTTTAATTAGAAAGGAAAGAAAATTCATTTTTTATGATCGTAATTAAAGAGGCTTTCTCTTCCATATGAAAAGGGCTGGTTTAGAATAAAAAAGAACGAAAATAGACCATTAAAATAA